GCCACCATGCCCAGCTAATTTTTTGTATTTTTAGTAGAGATGGGGTTTCACCATGTTGACCAGGATGGTCTTGATCTCTTGACCTCGTGATCCACCCGCCTGGGCCTCCCACAGTGCTGGGATTACAGGCTTGAGCCACCGCGCCCGGCCCCCAAGGCTCTTTTATCTGTCTCTGTCAATATTCTATCTGGAGCACACGGTTAGCTAGAGCAGCTCCAGCTCTAAAACACTGACTCTGGCTTCCTTCTCCTTCCACCAGTCCTCACCCTTACTCCAATCCTATCTGTACCCCAGGGCTTGGCTGCCCCCTCAGCCTCCTCTGACTGCCCCATCTTTGCTGGGCTCCATGAGGCTTTGCCCTGTAACAACCTTTCCTCAGGATCCTTGGTGCCCTTGCCTTAGTCATGCTGCTGTGCCCATTCTCCTGGCCCAGCCAGAGCTGGTGAGACCAACTGCGTCCTCTGAGTCTGTACCAGGGATACAGAACTCCACCCAGGAAGTCATGGCCTCCCTGTTCCCTTCCCACCCCCCACAAGATTTCTCTGCATGCCCCCTACCTCCCCAGCTCCTGGCCTAACAGATATACCCCTCCCTTATCCAGGATTCTCAGAGATGACCATCAAGTGGGAAGTTCCTCCCTTTCCTCCGTTCATGTTCACTAGCTGCCTCCAGGCAGGGCCCATCCATCTGAACCTTCCTCCTTCTCCTGCTCTTTTGCTTCCAGGAGACCCCTTCTCCTGGCCTCCTTCTCCTCCGAGAACCCTGATGTTTATGCCTTGCCACTGCTCCTCCTTCAGAGGCCACAAATCTCCCAGAGTGTTAAAGTGCAAGTAAAAGCCTCCCTATATCCTGTACTCCCTCCTCTTGCCTCTCTTCTCTCTCTCCTCCCTCTACAGCCATGCTTCTTGGAAGCACACAGGCATAGGCATGCCTGCTGTCCAGCCACTCTGTACCCCTCACCCCTCCACGCTGGCCCCCACAGGATCACACATTCCTGGCAATGGCTCCCCTCCAGCAAGGTCACCAACATGTGGGGG